ACTTTTCCTGAAGTTTTAAGAGACTATTTCCATGTTTCAATACAACTGATGTTTAGTGGAATTGTTTTCTATTGCATTTTCAATTTCAGCGAGGGGGCTGGGATACTTTGTTAGTTTCAGTTCCAGTCCTAAGAATATAAAGGAGACACAAAACTATGACATTTAGTACACAGTCTCCTTCGTTTAGACACATATCTATGACATTTAGTTGATAGTCTCCTTCGTTTAGACACATATCTATGACATTTAGTTGATAGTCTCCTTCGTTTAGACACATATCTATGACATTTAGTTGATAGTCTCCTTCGTTTAGACACATATCTATGACATGTAGTTGATAGTCTCCTTCGTTTAGACACATATCTATGACATGTAGTTGATAGTCTCCTTCGTTTAGACACATATCTATGACATTTAGTTGATAGTCTCCTTCGTTTAGACACATATCTACGACATTTAGTTGATAGTCTCCTTCGATTAGACACATATCTATGACTTAGATAAAATATATAGTCTCCTTCCTGTAGGCACATGTATATGACTTTCTGTATATTGACTCCTTCATGTAGACAAATATCTATGACTTCAGGTAACAGACTCTTTCGTATGGTCAGTTAATAAGCAAAGCTCAACATTTAATCCGTGTCAAATTACCGAAATCACAAGATGAACATCACTGTCTCGCATCCCGGGCAGCATGAAGACAGCTTTAAACCAACAGTCGCCCTGAGCCTCATTGCCGCACTGGCCACTGCTTACCTCCTGACCAAACGTTCACGGCCACAGCCTCCTGGCCCGTGGGTTATATTGCCAGGTACGACTGAGTATATATATATGTATTATACAGTTCACCATAATATCCCTAGTTTTCTGTATTCTGTCTCCTTGGACTGCTCGTCGTATTCGGTACCAGTGAACAATGAAGCACGATACTTGAGTTTGACACAAGACTTTGAGCTCACAAAAACAAACATAGAATTTTTTAGAAAAAAAATGCTTAATATAAAGAAATCTTTAATATTTTTGTTTTAATAAAAACGATTTTATGGATGTTGGAAAGTCTTTGGATTCTGCTACCGTGATACTCAGTGACCACCAGGCAGAAATTAATAAGCAAGAAATTATATAAAATATGCTTATAGAATACTTGTTGAAAATATTGTTAAGAGTCCTTACCTACGAAGTGTTTTGTGCTAGTTGGACAGCAAAGACGAGCTATTCCATTGTAATGCTTTTAGAAATGCTTAACTTACTATAAATACTTACCTTTGAAGGTATTGGACATCTTCTGAGATTTGCCAAGGATCCGGTGGACCAACTCCGAGTGTTGAGAAAACAATATGGCGATGTGTTCAAAGTCTACATGGGGACCATGCCAGTTGTGTTCATCAATGGATATGACGTGGTGCATGAAGTACTACATGTCAGGGGGGCTGAATTCGCGCAACGCCCCCAAACATTTATTGCCGACAGCTTGGCGGACCATAAAGGTAAATTGATTAGAGAATTTTTTTAAACATTTCTGTTTATAAATTTGTTGAGCAGATATAAATTGTTTCTGTACGTAACGTGTTTAAAGCCAACCTTCTGTTTCTCCTACTCTTGCTCATCAACATAACTTAATGTAGAATCTAGAAGTGTCAAAATGTGCGCTCACCAACATAGCCTTATGTACAATCTATAGGTGTCAAATGTGCGCTTATTAACGTAACCTAATGTAGAACTTGAAATTTCAAAATGTGCACTCATCATCATAACCTTTATTTAGTTTCTAGAAGGGTCAAAATATGTGCTCATTAAATAACCTTTATGTAGAGCCTGTAGTGTCAAAATCTGGCTAAAACAAACTTTGTGTCATAACAGTTACAATGAACTTATTGTATTTTGAATTCTTTTGTAGCACCATGTGTTTGTTTAAGAAATTCTAACTTGATGAAATGCATAATGTTGAACGATACTATCAAGGGGCATATTACTAGTATATTTTTTTATGCAGCGCTGCAATCATTATCTGTAGTCGATTCTGTACATGGTATTGGGCGATGTTAAAATATTGCTTTTTAATGTGCCTGACTTTATCGATGTGTGATGTTGTAATACAAACAGTGTTAATGAACCCAAACAATCATTTTCCTCACCTAGGATTGTTAAACACAAGTGGACATGTCTGGACGGAGCAGAAGCAAAATATTGTGAAGACGTTACGCAAGCTGACCGCAGCTGGTGGACTCTTGGAGCGCTACATGGAGACTGCTTTGAACAATTTGGCTGACAACTTCAACTGTCTGATACAGAAGGGGGAGGGTGGACAAGTCGATGTTTGAAGACGTTACGCAAGCTGACCGCAGCTGGTGGACTCTTGGAGCGCTACATGGAGACTGCTTTGAACAATTTGGCTGACAACTTCAACTGTCTGATACAGAAGGGGGAGGGTGGACAAGTCGATGTCGCACCTTTGTTGAAGAGGTCCGTTTGCTCAATATCCTTCGCCATGGCGTATGGACGTCAACTGGACCTAAATTCGGACCTACTGTTGTCCTACACGGAAATGATTGAGCAGTTTTTGGGGTAAATATCTTAGATTTAAAAAAAAAAAACCAATGCTATCATAATATTTGAAACAATTGACACATTCACAAACACACACACGCTCGCGCACACACATATGTCTACGTACTTTTATTTAATAGTTAAATGTTTTAACAAGAAATTGTCAACATTAAATTACTGAAAGAGATTACACATTTACATTTCTTACATATTTAATCAGAGGCGTCTTTAGAGTTTGTGTCAACCGGTGCGGTAAACTCATGGCGTAACTCCTCACATAGCCTTCCATTCTTAATTCAAATACCTTCCCCTTCCCCCCTGCTCTGTGCAAGTCTTAACCACATTATACAGAATCTCCCATAGCATTGTTCGTAAGACAAGTTAAGTATATTGAATTTGAGGAAACAGCGCTAGAAGAATTGCGAAAAAAGTACTTTGTTTTTAAATATACATATGAACAGAGAAGGTGCAACAGGAAGTCGTGGTGCTGTGACGCCATGAGTTTCTGGCAGCGACTCTTGTGACGCCATGAGTTTCTGGCAGCGACTCTTGTGACAGCAAAGAGATTAAACAATGATTAAACCTCCCTTACACTGAGTAGCTAACTCCTAAATTAGAGTGCCACTAACTCATGTGACTTAACTTAAGGCAAAACGAAAGCCGTACCAAACGTTATGACGGAACCCTGCTCTAGTGGTAACCTGTTTTTCTTAAGGTACTCGATTCTGCTGGCTCTCGATCGTATGGCATACTCTTCTTGTAATTAAATTAGATATGAAATGAGTCCGACGTGAGCGAGCTCTCGCAAATTTACAATTTTACAAATTGGTTGTCATTAGAGTTACCAACCGTCAGAAAATGTACCAATAAAAGTTCAACATTTTCACTGTCCGTAACAATTGCGCACATTTAGAATATTTGTCCGGGTATTTATTTTTCTTGAGTATGCAACCTTGGGTGTCACCCCTCCTCCCCTTTGATGTTGCCACCAGGTGCGGCCCGCATCCCCAAAATCCCCTAGTGACGTCACTCTATTTAAAATATTTGTATGTGAGTACAAGGCGATTAAACGAACGAGTGTGGGAACCAAAACAAAACGTATGGCTGCAAAGTGAGAACTGCTGAGTGAACTCTTTCCCTACTAACACAATTTGTTCACTATTAAGTATGAGCACTCCAGAAAAAGACTACGCTGAGACACTTGAGGATTTATTTTTAAGCCTCACTTATAACTTTTGTGGCTGGATGTCACGTGTGTCCAAGCCTGGCTTCAACTATCGTACCATCAAGTCATAATCAGTCCCTTCCAGAACCTTCCTTGATTGTTTGAATTATTGGTTGACCTTTCGCAAAAAAATAAATAATTAATTAGACTTATAAAATTATGTTGTAAGAAATATGTTTGATGTCCCCTGAATAGAAATAATTCCTAAAAGTTTAAATTGCATAAGCACACACACATTTTGTTTCATTTGTTTGTCTTCTTTTTTTTAAAACTAAGTGACAAAAGCTTGCAGATTTTTCTAGGATGGGCTCGACTGCTTAATAATTTAAGCATCAAGTACAAGTCTGCCAATCTATGCTTCAACTCGTTCACTGACCCTCACTTTCCTGTCTATCTCTCTGAACTGTTGCTTCCTTACATCCCCACAAGACAACTACGTTCTTCCATTGACAATAGTGCATCAAGTACAAGTCTGCCAATCTATGCTTCAACTCGTTCACTGACCCTCACTTTCCTGTCTATCTCTCTGAACTGTTGCTTCCTTACATCCCCACAAGACAACTACGTTCTTCCATTGACAATAGAACCCTCTCAATCCCAAGAACCAAAACTAAGACCATCGGTGAACGCTCCTTCTACTTCCATGGGCCCACGTTCTGGAACCAGCTCCCCTTCCATATCCGTCATTGTGAAACTTCGTCCACTTTCAAAAAGTCCCTTAAAACCCATTTGTTTAGGTCCGCCTATGACCTGTGATGCACCCTCCTTTCCCTGCCTCATTTTCTGTCTCGGGTTGATCCTGTAGTATAGGCCAAAACGTGCCAAAATGTCCTCGTTTTATAGCCATTTCAATTGTTTCTATAGTATAGTAGTTACTATCCTAATGTCTCATTTTTATTTTACTTAGTTTACATGTTTTTAATAATTGTAAAGCGCTTAGAGCCTTAAGGTTAGCGCTATTTAAAAATGCCTAAATAAATAAATAAATAAATTGGAAACTACAATAAACTATAACTTCAAGAGAGAAAAGCAAACGGTAAAATAAACAGTTTATAATTTTATTTCATTAGAAAAAAATGTTTAAGGTTATGTCAACATCCACATAGAGCCATCAGCGTGACGCTACACGATATTACTATTTTCATTTAGTATTCATTTAGAGAGCGCGACTATTGCACAGCTAGCGCATGCTCAAAGTTGAGCTGAAAAAATCCGGTCATGGGGGCATCTAGCATGGCGTATGAGGGGGGGGGGACTGTGGCAGGATGTCTCTGGTGGGCGTGTAGCAAGACGTCTTGGGGCATCTAGCAAGCATTGTAGGGCGTGTAGCAGGATATTATCCGGTCATGGGGGCATCTAGCATGGCGTATGAGGGGGGGGGGACTGTGGCAGGATGTCTCTGGTGGGCGTGTAGCAAGACGTCTTGGGGCATCTAGCAAGCATTGTAGGGCGTGTAGCAGGATATTTCTATGGACGTCTGGGGTGTGTAGCAAGACGTCTTGGACGTGTAACAAGACGTCTGGGGCGTGAGGCAGGATATCTCATTAAAAAATTGTTCATGTTGCTCTTTCTTTGAATTGCATTTTTTACTTGATTTAAGTAAAGGTTTTATTGGACATCACTTATTTTGCTTATAGTTGTCTAAACATGGCCGTTATGACCATGTTCATTCCGTACATACATCTACTACCCAAAGACCCTGTGGGATACAGAAAATGTAAGAAGCTGTCATTGACGATTGAGCGGGACTTTGTGACACCTGAGCTGGAGAGACTGGCTAAGGTACAGTCGAACAAGGTAAATGGAAGCTTGAAATAGAGAGACAAGACATTTTAAAAGCGTACTTATTAACATTAATTTCATTAATTAAGGTATTCTCGACAGGAGAGACGATTCCAGTTTATCCTTAAAAACTCTATAAATTCTGCAAATTACAAGAGAAATTAAGGATAATTACATAAGCACATGACTATCATATCAATATCGCATTAGTATCAAATCACCATCCCATTATTATCATATCCCCATAGCATCAGTACCAATCACCACATAAAAGCATGACATAAAAGTGTTGAATCTGGACATTCAAACAGACCTCAAAAAATGGTGTTTGTTGCTTTTCAAATTTTTTTATTTTCAATTTATCACGAATTTCTAGTAATACGTTGTTTGGTGCAAGTTTAAAAAACTTTAAAACAGCCACTAGCTAAACGCAGGTTATCTAATGACTCATTTGTTGACAGATGTACGCAAAAGACCAGACACCCCAGGCATCAAACAACAACTCGAGCAGCAATGGATCTCCTTCCACTTTGTGTTTCGCTGGAGCTTACATTGAAGAGATGAATGACAAAAGGCGGAAGGATATCTCCACA